AGTTCGATCTAAAATTTTTAAATTCCGCTGCGTATACATGCACGATCCCCAACATCGGGAAGTAATGATGTGCTAGTTGAGGAAAAAGTAAGTGAGAATGTTGAAGTCGAGTTCGATGGGGAAGAAAAAAAAGGTTCGGATTCGGGAGAATTTTTTTTTGAAGAGGTGAAGAATGAATGATATGATACAACGAAGCATCGAAGTTAATGTTGGGGTCTCCGTAGTGCAAACTCACATTGTGTATGTTGATGAGATGGCGGTTCCTATAGAGATGTATTTTCAGTTATTCTCTATACACAGGTTCGACAAATTAGGGCTTCGAGCTAAAAAACACCAAAGTTCATATACACTTCAATGGTTGAAAGATGGTGTGTTCTGCGATGAGATATATCATTATATTAACCACATTACACTTGGTCGGCCATGGCAGTACGATAGTAGGTGAAGTACGTTGGATCGAGGAACATATATACATTAGAGAAGAATGGTGGACTTGTTACCCTTGAGCTTTTCGTCTTGGCTCAACTATTGGGAATTAGGCCCGTGTACGCAGCGCAATGAAAAAAAAAATAATATGGAAAACATATTTTACATATAATCACGTGCACAATTTAACAATTAATTACGTACCTTATAGCTTCCAACGCAAATTAAAATACATATATGCATATATATAATTTGCTCTTAATCAAACCAATTAGAATGCTCGCATTAAATCATTAATCATGCATTTTAATGATTTCGTAAATCATTCAAATAAAAACCATATAGCAAATATCAACATAAAATTAATCATATTAATTAGTATATCTAAGTGCAAACGGGTCCGATTTTACCTCTTGATGTGTGAGAAAAACTTTGGGATTAGAAGCAAACTGCCACGGAAACCAATCAGTGCAATCGGGCGACTTGAGTCCTTTGTCTTCCTCCTCTCGGATTTCACCTCGTAGATTGAATTCTACAATCACATGGCACTAGACACGCAAAATTTAGAACAAACTGAAGTAAAAGACAAAGAAAAGAGCTACCAAATAACGGAGGCGGCACGTGGGGCCGATTACCGGACATGGCAGCGGCAGACTGGCGGTGGAGCAGCGGCCGTGAGTCGGTTTGAGTAAAAGAGTGGCTAGGATTTCTTGTGTTTGTGCAAGACCTATAAATCTTGTATTTATATTGTCTTATGTACAAACCCTAACAGGCTTAAGTTAGATCGGGCCCAACAGCTTAAGTCCGTTAGTCTTTTTATGCTCGTTTCTCATAAACCAATTATCAGAAAATTATAAAAATTATATTTTTCAAAATCATTGAAACGTCATCGTCGACACGAGTTCCAATGCTCGATTTCCAATTTCTAAAACTGGAAACCCTAATTTAGTAGACCTGCCAAACCGGGAAACTTTCCAATTTAGAAAGTTCACCAAGATTCTTTTATTTTCCTATTCTCATTCATAATTCAAACTTGCGAATGTTGGAGTCAATCGTATTGACTTCCAATTATGAAAATACCAAACGTTTTAATTTTTGACTGTTTATTCAATAAATTCAAGTAAACAATCTGCGTGGCCCTCGATGGTTCAGGTGTAAGCTAACCGTGGGCCCACAACCTATTGCGGTTTAAACTCGTCCCTAGAGTTATAATGAAGATGAAACTCGTTTCAACTTAACCACCCAAAGAATCAAGATTCGTTTCTAGCAACTTCGCATCATGATTCTCTAGATAGAAATTAAGTGCTAGCATGAACCGTGTGATATAGTTAACGTGCAGTACGATGCCTTTGATTCGTATGTCCCGATTGAACTAGAGGAATTGGTTCATCGAGACCTCATTTATAGTTCAATAATCGTTCGATCGTTTTAAGTGTTGCAATCGGTTCGTGCATGACTTTGAGAATCACATTCCCTAATCATCAGTTAGTCACCTCTGCCCAGAGACTTAATGATTACAAACTATAAGAACACACAGGACACCCAAGACTATTCTAGCGATCGAATCCCCGACTATAATGCACAGACCTCCCACTAGATTTCGGACTGCACGAACACTGGCCCTTGAGGCGGTCCTCGGTGGAACTCATGGACATGTCACAATACAGCTGGTCCTCTAGTGAAGTCACGGTGATGTTAAGGTCTAATGGTGTACAACTATATCATAGAGATCTCTTGTGGCATAACCCGTTGACTAGGAGCATGGTTTAACAGTCATATTACTTAATTAAATATCTCATGATGCCACTAGATCAAATATAAGTAATTATAATAAATGTAAGGACTATATCTATGTTTGTGCAAGGGACACAGATATAGAATGTCAAAAAGTGTTTTATCATTAAAACGAGAAATGACTATTTATTACAATAATAAATGAAAGCCCCACTGTCACAAGTTGGCTTGTTGGCACCTACTCTAACAATCTCCCAATTGACCTAAAGCCAACTACCCATAAATCGTAATCTCATTGACTCTCGATGTTTCTCGTGGATCGATCTAGGCAAAGGCTTCATGAAGGGGTCTGCTACATTCTCTTCTGAGGTGACTCATTCTACCTTGACTTCACATCTATTAATGATCTCTCTGATCACATGATACTTCCTCTAAATATGCTTGGAGCTTCAATTTCTTTCATTTTCCTTTTTTAATTTTTAAAACTCAAACTAATTGCCGCCAAGTCGCGCGTGAACCGCATATGCTGCCGTCCTGGTGGATAAATCGCTTCTTTTAGATATTAGAACACGCCAGCCGCTACATGCCGGAACTTTGTCGCGGTGGCTTCCGTTCCGGTTCCACTAACCCCATTCCGGCCACTATAGCGGCGTTCCGGTGAACCATGATTCCAATGAGCCGAAATGTAAAATCCTCCATTAATGTTTCCCTCAAGGCTCCTCTAACTAATTGCAAAGCTTCGTCGGAAGTTCGAAATTCTCCTCCATTTCAGTTTGTTTCTTTTCAGTCCTGCCTTTTTTTCTGTTTTTATAATATTAAGTAACAAGTATGTACTATACAACATGTTTTCTGGAATTTAAATGCATTTCTGCCTAATACTTCTAGTTTTTTTTTTAAATAATAAAAAAGGGGCTAACTGGATTTGTTTGGTGTAGTTGGAATGGTTTCTTTTACTGGTTTATGTGTTTTTGGGTCTCATAACAAATTCTAAGGGGTTCGTTACATACACTCTTTTGGTGTAACATTTAGAGTGCGTTTGGATGGAAGGATTTGGGGAAGGGATTTGAAATGACTCCAAATGGAGTCATTTGAAATCCACCTCAATTGCTCAAAACATAACTAAAAAGGAGGGGTGTGGATTTGAAATCCATCCCCAAATCCCTCAATCCAAACAAGTCCAAGGGATTTGTTATTATGGATTTGAAATCCCTTCCCCAAATCCTTCCATCCAAATGCACCCTTAGTTTTTTCTACAATGCCAATCCTCTTTTGCTATTAGCACGATCGTATAAACAGTACTATGTGAGATTGATATTCATGTCAGTAGGCTGAGCAGATTATCCTGTGGTCTTGATAATCTTGATCGATTGTTTTATTTTAGGACCGAGACAATCAATCTGGATTACTTTTGTTTTGTTTTGTTTTATCTAGAAAGTGCCTAGATTTATTAAAATTGTCTGGATCCAATGGAGAACTGTCCCGCAAGTAACCTATGCCATTATCATCATACGGTCAGAAGCTACGATGATAAGAATTTGCCAAAATATTGGATTCTATGTTGCTTTTAGTTGGAGTAAGAAGGAACTTTTTGATGTGCTGATTTTGGTTTTGGGGTTGTAGATGTGGACTGTTAACTGTTGAAATTGAGCATGTGGATGCTGCAACTCTTGAGAAACTTGAACAACAAGGCGTGGATTGCCAACCTAAAGCTTCGACTATCCGAATCATCCAGGTTTTATGAGTTGATGATAGGATAGAAGAGGAAAAACACAAGATTTTCCTTGCTATTCTTTCGATTGAAAAATGAACCAGATTGATCTCGTACCCTTCATTCAATGGTCAAATTCTACAGGAAAAGTTACTCATTAATTATTGAGATCTCTGCTTCTTGATATTAAAATTAAAGCAGCAACGGAAGAGTTTAAGAGAGAGCGAGAGAGAGAATATTAGCAATGTGGTATATGTAGAAACAGTAACCCCTCTATTAGGCCAATCCAAATTATGTAGATATTTGCATTCTTTTCCAAAATAGGATTGCCTTATTGCTTTCTGCATTGTCTTGTATGCTTAAGTTTGTGATTATTTATTTTTTTTTCATTTGCAAAACATATATTAAGTAACATGTTTGCTATCTTATACTTTTAATAACATGTTCTGTTAACAAGATAAGTATCCTCAGAAATTCCATTTTTCTCGACATGCAATTCGATCCACCCACTAAATTCGTGCAGGTGTATATATTTACTGGCAAAGAGTTAAAAAAGGATATATTTGAGTATTAACTAAAAAGTATAATTTTTGGATTCGAGTATTGAAAAATGTCTGTACTTTTTGGTTATCCTCTTATGATAAAAAGCAAAAGACTGGCTTATGATGGACGAGGCAATATATAATGCTGTTACTAAAACTGAAGACGAAATTTCTCAGGCAGTAAATGGTAAAGAAAGATGGATACAAGTCTTTCTTGAAAAGATGGTGGCTGGGAAGACTCTTTGAATTCATAGCATTCTTTTTTGACACTTCAGTTTCCTATGCAGTTAGTTATTTTGGCGATAACAATTTTTCACAATTAAATTACCCATAGGAAATATATAATTTGAGGTGTTGGAAGATACGAAATATTCACAAGAGGTTTCGAACAAACGACTTTTTATATACATTATAATCTTATCAAAAAAAAAAAAGAAAAACAGAAATGAGAAAATAATCATTCTAAAATTTAAAATTTTGAATTGGAAACGGCACAATGTAAAACATCATTCGAAATTTCATCCTCACTATTTTATATGTATTCTAATTAATTTAAGGAAACAATTTGAACTTGTAAGTAAATAAATTAATTTCGCATAAATTCCCCTTAATACTATAGAAAATATGCAACAAAAAAACTTGCATGACTTTACAATGTTAATCATTAACAACAGAACCGGGGATTTCAAATATCAATACAAATTGCTCTCCCTATCACCGTTATTGAAAGGATGATATAAATTAAAAAAAATTATAAATAATAACTGTTGCTCCCCCTATCATTGTGATTGGAATAATGATATAAAATTGGAAAAAATAAAATAAATAAGTCACCTGTTAAAAATAATAAAAAAAAAAAAAAAAAAAAAAGTAAATGACTATAATGTTGTGCCAAGCGATTTGGGAGTGTTTACAAAGGTGGCGCTTTTATTGAAGTTGTCTTGAACAAGAATTCGTACCGCTTCTAATCCATTTTGTAAAGTAAAATCCAACTGCAAATATGAGATGAAAAAAATTACCATTATAAACATCTAACCCAAATTTTAAATAAGTACTTGTCACAACTAGAGCAAATTTATGTACCTCTTGACGCTCGTCTTTGTTGAAAGGGCGAAGAACGAAGCTTGCAGGATCCATTTTACCTGGAGGCCTCCCAATTCCTAACAGAAAACTCAATTGGTTTATCCAAATTAAATAATCTATTCTCAATTGGTAAGGTTTTGCAGAGTTATATAATAATTAATAATGCATGGGGAATTAATACCTATTCGTAAACGAGGAAAATCCTGACTACCTTTGAAGTGACTTATAATACTTCTCATCCTGCAACAGAAGAGCAGGTTAATTATACACCTCAATGGAGACTACTAGTATTAATTGATAGAGATCAAGATAGGTAAATACAACTTAGAAGATAAGGATCTACAAATAGACTAGTATCCTTTCATCCCACATTCGATTTTCTAGTTTTGTATTAAAAAGAAGAATAAAAATTGTATACAAGGTTACAAGACAGCACATACGGTGTTACTTAAGCATCAGTGATCAGAAAAGCAGCACAAACCATACGACAAAATTATTATGGTTAGAACTTGCCTTGCTCACCAAGAAACAAAACACAAGTCCAGAACAAAGGATTCAAAGATGGAACCTCGAGCCTTTGCTTACAAGAAGCAACAACATTTGTATAATGAAAACACCACAATCAAATGTTAATTGATTGATAAGTCGAGACGAAAGCTCGGTGAAATATTTCACGGAAGTTGCTAACTAAAAATCCTAACCTGAAATCCAACTGAAACAAGTTGTGCACAATAAGGGAGTCATAACTTCTTACAAGAACTTATGCATACAAGTTTTGAGTAGTGCAGAGCTTAAATCCACCAAAGACAACAAAAAGAAGTACATGCTTTAGGTGTTCGGAAATATGCTATACTACCGAGCAATGCCCAACCGAAAGAGAAATGATTTATCAAGAAAATTATGACATTGAACCCGAAAAGGAGGGAATATTTCTTCTAGGACTGAATCATATTTTGGACTCTTAAGAGACACATAGCTATGTTATCAACTCTAGATATGGTTTTTTTATAACTAGAGTTAGGATTTTCATGTAAGAATAGGGTTCCCAATTGTCGATGTTCCATATATTGGATCCTGTGTTTTGGATTTGCTTCCGCATATTGTTATTGGGCGAAGTTCGTATTTGTTACCCTCCTTCCACATACTGAATACCCCATCCCAAAATTAAACAATCTGTCTGCACAATAAATTTGTCCCTATTCAGAATCCTTCAAGGGAATCCTAATTAATGCATTTAGCCGGTTAGTGTTTACATACACAGACGATTAACAACAAAAGCAACCAGCTCAGGGATATAGTGAATACCCATTATGCCCTCCATGTCCACCTTTGGGTAATAGTCTCAACTTAGCAAAAGGCAAATCCATGTCATCAAACATCTGTTAAACGAGGAAAAATCATTAACTTGCTTACAGAGAAATGCAAATGTTACATAAGGTTGTAGATATTTTACCACAAGAACTTGCTTCAATGGGATCTTATAATATGACACAAGAGACCCAACCTACGAAAAATAATAAATAGCTCAAATTTCCCTCATTTAATGCATAAAGATTTTTAAGATAGTTCAAATGTCGAGATAGTGAACTTACAGACTCACCACTGACATTCATGAAAGTCTGCGGCTTAGCAAGCATAACAGGAACATCTCCGATGAAACCTGACCACATAAAATCTAATGAGAGAAGAGAATTGTGAAACAATGTATTAGGTTGTTGAACATTAGATTCATTCATCCTTTGTCCACATTCGGTAAGGACGGCATCTTTTGCGTTTCCTATGCATCAATATCTTAGATCATAGTAACAATAACTCTTGTACCTTTTTGGGTTATGGCAGAGTGATCACACGGGCCCTTCTACAAGGCTCTGTTGTGAAGACATTTAAAAAGGGGTCGTTCGTGAAATTATTGGAGATTTGGTTTTTCAAATTTCTGTAATTTTCTGAATTCGCTGAGATTATTGCTGATACAAGTGTTGAAATAAGAATCCAGATTATCATTGCAATGACGTGCCTCACTTCAACAAGGGGCCAGCCAAGCTGTGTACGCAGTGCTGCTGCTCGTTCGGCATTTCACACTATTGATTGAAATGTAGGTATTTGAGGTAATGCTATCAGTGATGTGTCTAATTGCTTTGGAAAATTCTTCCACTGCAACAATTTATTCCCTCCATCTTCCTAACTCTCCCTCTCTGAGGTGATAGTGATTAAGTGGTACAAATAAGCATTTATTCCCAGCTTAAACATTATTAGATACATTTCTTTTACTAAAATGACATCCTTATTTTATTTGCACTTCTAAATTTCTACGCAATATTTAAATACTGAACGGTAAATTAAATAGTTCAATATCTCATGTTCGTTTCATTAAAAAGAACTTTGAATTCAGCAATAAAAATTGAACTGGCACTGAGCCATGAGAATTTATAGTCATTATTCAAACTTAGCATCTGACGTTCGAAATTGTGAATTTGTCTTAAATCCGTTAATAAAATCGGTCTACTGAAGCTTCTTCCTATAAGTAATCAATCTCTTGATAGTCAATGCAAGTTGGATAATTGAAAAATCAGCATCCAACAGCATAACAAATTTGTGAGTTATGTTATGTGTTATATCAATGCGAATTGTTCCACGAAACAGAAAGCTAAGATATATGCAAAAAAAATAAAAGTAAAAGCAAGAGTAGAATAGAACAAATAACCTTTTCCAAAAACAGATTTGAAGGAGACGGTGCTCATAGAAATTCCCTCGGATTCTGCGATAAAATCAACGAACTCAAACCCTACCTATTAAGAAAGAAAAAAAAAAAAAAAAAAAAAAGCTGAATCAATAAAATTGTGAATTGAAATATACTGCAATTCGTTTCTGAATTTCCATACTGACATTGTGGCGTGTTCCGCTGTAGCGCTTTCCGGGGTTGCCGAGGCCGACGAGGAGCCAGGGTTTCTGCTTCTCTTCAGCCTCGGTCGAAATTGAAGCCATTGACTTGAATCCGGGTCTTCTGAATAAGCAATTTCTGTTTTTCTTGCCCAAATTCGAGGGAGAGTTAGAGAAAGGAGTTCCCGACAAGAGGCGGCGCCGCCCAAACGACGCCGCCGCCGATGAAGACCGTGGAAGTAATGCAGTTGATATATTATTGTACATTATTTCTTGCGGATTATTTCCTACAATTTGGAACATAAATATATGCATAGACAAAATGAATATTCTAATTTATCTAATCCTTGGGCATAACGTAAATTAATAATTATATTTGTGATTACGGTAATTTGAAAAAATATAAAAATAAAAAAGATATTTAAAAAAAACCAACGCCGTTGCCGGGGATCGAACCCGGGTCACCCGCGTGACAGGCGGGAATACTTACCACTATACTACAACGACTCGATGTGATATGGAGGAATTATTTATTATTTACTTCCTAGAGACTCGATGACGCGTCTGCCAAAACAAAATGTATATACATGAGGTACAATTCAAAATGGTTAATAATATCGTCTCTGATCTCTCCAACGATTTATTTTTCAAAATTCAAGATCTTACCAAACTGATTTCAAGAGTTTATAGGTTGTTGTTGTTACGAACTTATAACTTTAACCAAACTTACGAACTATATAAAATAGAATTGTCTTTTTGTTGTTTTTTTTTTTCTTTTTTCATTTATTTATATACGTATATATCATTTTGTTTGTTGAAATTAATATATTATTAAAAAAATTCAAATGTTCTTTTTTTTTGCATTTTAGTTGTCAATATTAAATTTAATTAAATTTCCTTTTTATTATACTACATGTTATTAAAAATATTAATTATAGATAATACTTTAATTTTTTTTATTATTTTTCATTCCCAAAACAATTTTAAATTTTAATTTTGGCCCAAAATAGTGTTTTCCGTAGATATGAACGGACACGTGACGGAGGGGACCAAATGTGTTTTTTTGAAGTGAACCTTGGAGGTAAAATTTATTCACCTCGGAATAAGGGAACCAAAAGTGGAATCGAGCAAAACATGAGGGAAGAAAAAGTGTAATTCTCTCGATTATTGTTACGAACTTATAACTTTAACCAAACTTATTGATGATTTTCAGGGGCGGACCCAAGTTTTGCTTTGGGGGGCTGCCGCCCCTGCAAGAGTTTTTCATTTTTTTTTTTTTCTTTTTTGCATTTTTTCTTAGTGATTTTTTATAATTTTTTTATGAATTATAGTGTATTTGACCCCTAAAATAAAATAAAAACTTATATTTTATAATTTTAAGCTTAAAAATTCCAATAATGATAATATATTTTAGATTTTACTGTATTTTTAATTTAAATAATTTGAAATACTTACTTTTTTATTGTTGAAGTTTACAAAATATCCCAAAAATTTTTTTTGGGGCGCTACCCCCGAACCACCGTAAGTTCATAGTTCATTTTCCCCCAAAATCTCGCCCCCAATTGAAAAGTCGTTGGATCTGCCTATGATGACAATATATACCCGGTTGGGTGTCCGCTCACTTTGTACCCGAATTTAGAGGATATTATTACCCGCGACACATGGTTTCAATTTATACTCGTTGCGGGTACAGGTCGGGTTATGTTACGTTAATACCCGCCCCAGAGTCCCATACCCCTCAAACCTTGAACATAATCGGAATTAGTTTTCACTTTCGAAAAAAGATGATTTTTTTTTTTCCAAAATTGTTAATCTCGATCTGATCCATCCAATTTCCAACCTTGAATGCACATGTCCAATTTTGTTTTTACTTTCGAAAATAACTAGTACTTCACCCGTGCGTTGCTTGTAGATCAGTTTCAAAATGAGAAAAATAATACTATGTACGTGACTAATTCTTTGTAACAAATCTAATTTAAGTAAAACAAAATGAAAGGAAATCAAAGAAAGATGGACTTTATCTATTTTAATTCAAAGTTGTAACATATGAAATGCAATTAAATATAAATAGAAGAAACGCAAAGAGGAAAACTTGATATGAAAATTAAATAAAATCATTTAAAACATATAAGAGCAACTCCACATTGGAAACTAAATGAAGTATGAAACTAAGAAACTACCACTTTGATGCTCCAAAATTAAAAAAATCATCTTCCAATGGAGGCATTAAAGTAAGAATTATTTTGATACTCAACCACCTCGAGGTGCAAAATTACTCCGTGGAATATGAGGTATCAAAAGTATAATCACTTCCTCAACCTATCATCATTTGACATGTGGCATTTAAAAATATATTTATTCATATATTTAAAATTTGATAATCTATTTAATACTTGTGGTTGGAGTGAATTTTTTTTTCTAAAAACATCAAAGTATTATATCAAGTATCAAATAAATATTTAATGCTCCATTTTGATACCTCTCCATTGGAGTTGCTCTAATACAACTATTTCATGGAATACAATATACAACACCATCTGAATAAAATGCAAAATTATTGACTTAACAACAAACACGGTAGTAGAGAAGTCACGCAATTACTATTCAAATAATCTGCAAGTTTGTCATATATTAATAGGGTCCAATTAGTGATGCATAATAATTAAACAACAGTACTACTTGTAAAAAATTCAAAAGAGATAAAGCGTATACGCCACTACCTTCAAAGGAAGAATACCATATATCAATAAACTAATCATAATACTAATACTAATACTAATACTAATACTAATGCTAATGCTAATGCTAATGCTAATGCTAATGCTAATGCTAATTGTAGTTAATGTTATTGCTAATACTAAGACTAACACTAACAATAACACTAATACTAATACTAATACTAATACTAATACTAATAGTAATAGTAATACTAATACCGATACTAATACTAATAGTCTAATACTAATACAAATGCAAATACTAATACTAATACTAATACTAATAGTCTAATACTAATACTAATACTAATACTAATACTAATATTAATACTAATATTAATAGTCTAATACTAATACTAATACTAATACTAATACTAATACTAATACTAATAGTACTAATTCTAATATCAATACTAATATCAATATTAATATTAATGCTAATATTAATATTAATGCTAATGTTAATCCTAATATGCTAATTTTAATGATAATACCAATTAAATGATAGTTCTAATATGACTTCCCCACTGCTATGATAGACGACTCCAGGTTTTGACACGTCTTGGATGGATAAGGAGCTGCAGAGCTTCATAGATCGCATCCGACGAGGGTGGTTTCACATGGAGAACTTTACCCGCGACTCGTGGATGCTATATGACTCCACTGCATGTTATATATATATTACACGATTATGGTTTTGGTATTACATTATTTTTCGAGTAGCTGCTCAGCTATTATCACTAGAGTTGTGCACGGTTCGATTTGACTCAAATTTTGACTAAAAATGAACATGAACCAAATAAATTGGTTTTTGTAAGAGTAAAGAAAACCATATATACATGTATCGGTTTTACGTTGATTTATGATTCATTCTAATTCGGCAATTATATTTTTGGTTAAGGTATAACTATATGTTCAATTTATACACACGAAAAATAATTGTTATTTCTAAAATTTCGTATGTTCCAAAATTATCCCCTTTCTCATAATTAATCTTAACGAATAACAAATATTTATCTATATTTGGTAATTAATAAATTTCTTGTTAAACTAACTTGCAGTTATGGTCAAAAGGAGCAGGGCACGACAAAATCGACTTTGAGTTTTTGGGAAATGCAACCGGATAGCCGTACACAGTACACACTAATATATATGCTAAAGGCAAAGGTGATAAAGAACAACAATTTCGTCTCTGGTTCGACCCTTCTTCTGCTTACCACACCTACTCCATCCTCTGGAATCCTCAACGCATCATGTATGTGTTTTATTATTACTCTTAGTTATTCGAAATTGGAATAATAAATTAGTTAACTTTTTTTTTTCTTGATTTGACGAACAGATTCTTGGTGGACAATATTCCGATAAGAGTGTTCAACAACGAAGAAGGTTATGGCGGTCGTGTCAAAACTGATTGGACTAAGGCTCCGTTTGTTGCTTCTTACAGGAATTTCAACGTAAACGCATGCGTTGCCGGATCACAATGCGGATCAGTGTCGGATTCTAATTTGAAGGCGGAGGGGGCTAATAATAATAATTGGAGAACACAGGGACCTGATGCGAATGGCAGAAATAGACTGAGATGGGTTCACCAGAAATATATAATCTACAATTACTGTGTTGATTCTAAGAGGTTCCCTCAAGGAATTCCTGCTGAATGCAAGCGCTCCAGATTCTGAAGAGCTTTACCACATTATCAATTATTCTATTTTTTTTTTTTCATAATTTTGTAGGAATTCTTTATTCTTTAGTTTTTTGATACAAATTGTAATGGTAATCCGAAGAACTAATAATTATTTCATGTGCCAATTCATTTGCAAAACATTTGTTAGAAATGAGTTTTGTACACGCTAATAAATATATGTAAATGAATCTTGGGACCATAAGGCATAAATATAAAATAATAAATAATATATTAGGCGGTGGATATATGCAAGCCCATTTTTTTTATTAGTTCAAGACCTTCGACATAAAAATACATAAAAAAATGGGCTTGCATATATCCGCCGCCAATATATTATTGTAATCATAAAGGGAGGTGATATTCGCGGTAGCAAAATTACGAATGTGGGTTTAAAAAATTCACTCTCTACCTATCTTTCTCTCTCTATAATTTTATTTTTAATAGCTTTTATATTAGAAATCGTTCCAAAACCCATATTATTGCAGCGATTTGCAAAGAAAAATGAGTGCATCGAATGAGGATCGAGATAGAAAACCCAATGAAGTAAATTTGTTCGTTTTTTGTTCTGTAAATAGCGAAAACGCGACTCACGACCAAACTGGGAGCTACAACGCCCGATTCACGCCCGGTTTGGGCATGCAAAAGTATTTTCCGCGCCCGATTTGGGCGCGCAACACAGCTTTCCGCGCCGGTGTGGGCACGCACTGTGACTGAGATTTAATCAAAAAAATTATATTTTTGTGCTGCAACAAGGATTCGAACACGGGATCTTACCTAAACCAGACGTGGAAACTGCTTTCACACGCCCATTTTGGGCGTGGAAAATTCGAAAACCCAACACTAAAAACAGCCCCAAATCGCGATTTTATGGGGATTTTCACATAATTAACCACAAATTCAATATATATAACTACACTA